TGGTCAATACACCACCCAGTGTTTATGTTTATTCCAAGGATCTGAACTCTGATCTTTAGGCTTGCAAAGTCTCTTAAGGGATGCTAAAGATGATCCATAGAAGAAAAGAGTTTCTTGATGCAAGTGGGTTGGTATCCTTGATATCACTAAGTCATTTCCGAGCCCCTCAAACATGACTTTTTTTTCTTGGCTTTTCTAACTAACACTGCAGTATGTTTTTATACTGAGTCCAAGAACACATGTTTGTGAATGTATTATTGGCTTTGTTCAATAGTGCCTTAGATTGGTAGAAATGAACACCTTAAACTGAGGTTTCAAGTCAAATACTAGAAGGTAGAAATTGGCATAACCTCTGAAAATTAAAATGTACAGTTTGAACTGTAGAACTATTGTGAAAAACATGGTAGAGAAGAGATCCATTAAGTCTCCTTCAGTGCCATTTCCTACAATTTGTGAGAGGGAATCTTGCACGGGCACACTCTTGTAGTCTCCTTTCCTATAAGAATGGTTGCTAGGCATTTCCCTGCTAAACGATGAAAATTGTAAAAAGACATGTTCCCATTTTATTGACCCACCTTGCATCTTCAGTAAGCTCTCTCAGTGCCTTTGTCCACACAGCCATTAGACTTCCTCTAATTGCTCTGACTCAAATGAGGACTAAGTTTGTGGTTGGAAATGTTGTGACATTACCAAGAAAGTTCAGTTAGTATAAGGTCTCTTCTCAGACTCCTGTTTGCAAAGCCAAGGAAAGAAGTTTAGCAGGAAAGGCCATACACTGATATGCAAAGCTATTATGTGATTCTTGATAGGACTCAAAGACTCAAAAGCTTACCCCCCTCCCCTTTGTCAAAGGAACATTTTAGTGAAGCTGCCTACTGATCATTTATGTTCAGGAAGGACAAACAAACTCTGGAAAACCAAAACCCAGGCAACATCATGAATTTGTTAAGCTAGCAGTTTCAAAATTATCCCCCACCTAACCTTAGTTTTTTATTTTCTCTTCGCTCTGAATCCTCTTTTGCTGGAAGTAGAAATATGGTTTTGTGTAACTAGAAATCACCGAGGACATCACCAATTGCACTAGAAATCAAACTAGAATCTAAGAGTGGCAAGAAGTCAGGTGAGAAAGTGATATTATTTGTGAACAGATGATGAGAACATGGTAAAAGGGAGAGTAGAACATAGATTCATGAAATGTTAACTCGACTGTGGTCTCGGAGCAACAGAGCATGTTAAAATGCAGATTCCAAGAACATAGAAGCAGAAGTTCTGACCCAGTAAATATGGATTGAATCTTAGACATGGATAAAACTCACCATCTTTACAGATTTTTTAAAAAGGCATTTTAGGAGGTTATTTCATTTGCTTAAGGACTGTAATGATAACTTTCTGAAACCTTGTCTTCTCAACTTTGAGGCTTTTCCTCTCTGTGGATGAATGAATTTTTCTTTGGGGGGGGGACTATCTGAATCTAAGCCAATGGTTGTAAGGTATACGGTTTTTCCTCCCGCTGCCAGTCTTGTCCCGCCGCCGTGCCAGCCCCAAATAACACACAGGTACTCTGTATTTGATATTATACTGTTGGCCAGTTACTACTTTCTTATCGGTTAGCTCTGTCTTAAGTATTAACCCATTTGTGTTAATCTATGTATTTCCATGTGGTCTTCTTACCCGGAGCCGGCTGCCACATACTGCTCTCTCCAGACTCTCCATCTTGACTCTTCCTTACTACTTCCTATTTCCTCCTTGTCTCCTAGTCCCTCCTGTCTTCCTTTCCTATTGGCCAACAGTGCTCTATTCATTAACCAGTATGAGAAACATATACAGAATGACATCTCCCATCAAATGGTCAGGTCCCATTTTAGTCAAATGGGGCCAGAGCCAGAGGTCTCAGAATGACTGATTATGCTAGTAGGGATGGGGCATCCCACAACATGTATATGGCCTTCTTCATTGTTACTAATAAACTGAACCGCAACACAGACTTTCCCAGATCAGAGTGCTAAGCTATGAAAATAAATTGTCACTACTGTTGCTACACCAGCTAGCCATTTCATATCCAGTTACTGGGCCACCAGGGCCCTGAAATTGAAGGTTCTTGTTGAGGACTTTCCCTCAGATGATTAGTTCCTTGACCTACACAGGACATTACATATATGGATATGTAATCAAATTGCCTTGTTCATTAGCTTGTTAACCACAAACTTAAGGCCCAAACAATAGAACTATATTGCCACATGACTATAAGAGGATAGAAAAATGAAGCTTAAGATGCCAGCATGATTGATTCCTTTTAGAGATGCCAGTGATAGATCTGTTCCTTGTCTCTGTTTTAGCGTCTGCTGGTTTGTTGGCAGTCTTTGGTGTTCCTTGTTATTGACATATAATTACAATTTCCAGCTATTGTGTTAACATGACATTCTATATATGTGTGTTTTTGATAATTCCCCTATTTTAATAAAAATAGTAGATATATAGGATATAGGCCTACCTTATCTCAGTGCAATCTGCTCTCAATTACATGCACAGCAACCCTTTTCTCAAATAGTGTTATATTGTAAAGTATTAGGAGTTAGGAATTCAACACATGCATTTTTGAAAGACACAATTCAACCCATCACACATAATCCTTATTTCTGTTATGCATAAAGATGAGTATTGGAAGGTAGAAGGCAGTGGATGAGGGACAGAACACTAGGAACAAACTTAAGCATAACACTGTCCTAGTAAAGACAGAAGTGTATAAGAGAATTCAGATACTAGGGAGAAAAAAATCCATGAATTCCATAGTAAAATTGCAGCCCATATATTTTGATTTGGACTATATCCAACATTTCATAAGAATAGATGAAGGTGTGAAAATTGTCCATAATCATAATAATGTAATGCATTGCAGTCTACTTATAAATAAGCTCTTCTGAATCAAGAATAGACAATTGTGACTTTTTTAGTCTCTGGAACTTTCTAATTTAAAGTTTCACAAATGTCTTAACTCTGAGGGGAAAATAACAACAGATTACCTTAGAGGAATAAAAAGGTATTTATCATCAAATCTTTCTCCACCGAGAACTGAAAAACAGAGAAGTTACAGGCTTCTTATTTGGATGCCCCTTAAGTGAAATGTGGTTTTCTGTGGCTTACTTGAAAAAAAAAATGGAGGACATGGCTACAAGGCAGTCTGCTGCAGAGGAAAGACTGCAGAGGGGAATGGAAAAAGCCAAATGTGGTGGTGACATTTTCTTGAACAGGTTCGACATTTCCCTAACAGAGATTAGGAAGCTATTTTAAGTCAGGGGTGATTTGGTTTCTAATGTTCACTTTGGTTGTTTGAACAGCTTTGGCTCAATCAGAACCTCAATGGCCACATGTTAATCTGAAGGATGATGCGTCTGCACATTCAGGGGCATTGTAAAGGGCCAAGTACCTTAAAGAAAGGAAGAGGGGCAAGCAGAAGGAAGAAGTAGGAGGGTCCAGGCTCTGATACCTGCTGCAATGCAGGCTAGTCTAGCTTCAGAGTGTTTTGGGGGAATTAGAAAGCGAGTGCTGAGTCACTTACCCAGACTTTCTAGAAGGCAAAGGTGGGCAAATCTAGGTTTTGGTGGTCACAGAATGTGGCTTCTGGTGGGCCACAGTCTAGAGTAGAAAGAGGGAGGAGAAAGTCTGCACAAAGTTTTAATCTGTAAGGCAACATGCTGCCCTTACTTAGTCTTGCTCATGGCCTATTCATGGGACAGGCAGGCTTCCGGGGCAGGATCATTCCTTACTCCAAGCAGCATAATGCCTTGCATAGTGTTTACTGTGTGCCAAGTTCTGTTGTAAGTGCTGTGCAAGCATCTTAATGGATCTAGACTCTAGATGAAGAAATGGAGTTACCCACATGGGAAACAGCTTACCCAAGTTCATACTGCGAGCGGGTTTCAGAACTGTGATTAGAGTTCCAGTCTAACATTTGTGAACCCGCACTGCCACCGAATGCTTCCCAGCCAGGACACATGAAGAAAGGACAGTGGAGGTGAGCAAAACCACTGTCTGGAGCCATCAGGGGAATGGCTTTTCTAGAGATGCTTATTTCCAAAGGCAAGCCAGTACATGTGAGACTGTCTGAAAAGAAACTATTGTTGGATACAAATCCTCCTCAATGTCACTTCACAACAGAAGACTCCAAGCATGTGGTCACATTTTTTTGAAGATTCCATGGCTTCAGTACATATGTCACTCATGTACTCTCCCCACATTTATTGCAAGCGTGTACTGTTGAAGTTCTTATTGACACCGAGTCTCTAGCTAAATAGACTGCACACTCTGTGTAGCATAGAAGCATCCCAATACTCCACTGAACACTGCAGCATCCCAGGTGATCTGGTAGCACCTGGAAACACAGAACCACATAGTCCTAGGTATGCTGTATCATGTTCAACTGGCTTCATGGGCATGAAGAAGTCAGTTTAGTTTCCTCATACATTGATTGGGGTTTTACGATATTTACTATGTCAAGGGCAGTGAAGACCCTGAAAAGGATGCTGGAAAAGCACAGTGCTTGCCCCTCTCCCAGGAATGTTGTGATCATAAAGCATCAGGAGATTCCTTTCATTTTATACAGGGAACCCCTAACTCTTAAAGCACTGGAGCATCTCTGGACTCTGGACTTCTCACCTTTGCTTATTTGCAGTTGCACAAGGAAGTAACACAACTCTTGTGCAAAGTGGGCACTGAATGAGAGGCGACTGACTACAGTACGGAGTAAGGCCGATTGTTGATTCACTTCACGCCTCCTTGGCTGTGCCTCACTTTCTCCACCTGCGCACAGGCCTAATAATACTTGTCACCTACATGTCTTACTGCTGTAGTGAAGCTTCTTGGAGGCAAAGGCAGGGGGAGCGGGAAATCATTAGAAGATGTACATCTAACAAAGTGAACTTTCAGAGCTGCGGGGTTGTTGCGTTATCGTTATCTTTTAAACTCCATTTCGGTATTTCAATTACATTAGAAGTGAATCGTTCCCTGCCCCTAGAGGCTTTGCAGGTGTGGCTGCTGTGTCACATGTGCGTCAGTAGGTGGCAGAGAGGAGAGAGGCTATGTCTACGCTCAGTGTTCTGACCTGTGAACATCTGAATGATTTGTAGCCTAACACTCTGAAGCTGGAGGTGGGATCACCCTCCTAGTTGTTGACTGGTTAGGGTAATTTGATGGCCCTAGGTAGACCCAATAGAGAGGCCAGTCTGTGAAGAGATGGTTTGAGATAATAAAGTGACTTGTTGGAAATCATGAAGCCAGTAACCTTCAAAAGGTCCTGGAGCATAGCAATAGCACATATACTTCTGTAATCCTGGATGCTCACCCAGCCTGGGCTGTAGGGCAAGAGACTGCCTCAAACTACAGTGGATGGAAACAGTGATGGCATCAAAGCTATCCTTTGAGGAGATGAGTGGAGTTACTGCCTGATGATCTGAAGTTGTTGGCAAGCTATCTTGAGGTGAGAAGTGAATCATTCTCTTCCACTATCAAGCCAGTGTGTTCCTCTGACCTCTCAGGGTCTTGTAGTACAACTTAACTCTCACTGAAAGTCCCCTGAGTGACTGTGACCAAAGAACTCACATTGTCATTTCAGCAGCTTCACCCTATTTTGCATACTGGGAGAATGAAGGGTAGCTATGCAACAGGAGTGAGGTCTGGACTGTCAAAGTCACTGGCAGGCAGGGAGTGATTGCTTTATTTTCAGAAGAACTTGCATAAAAGGATCTTTTCATTTATTCCACGTATACTCAATGAGCACCTATTATGTGCCAGACACTGTTCTAGTAAAAAAACTAAAGTCTGTCCTTGTGCATATTATACTTTTGAGAGACTAGAGAACCGGTGACCAAATAGATAAATTCAAGAGATACCTTCAAGTAATAATAAAGCTTCTGCAGTTTATGAAATGGGGTAATTAGTTAAAAAACAAACAAACAAACAAACCTGCCCAGGATCAGATGCTGGTTTAGTTGAAAGGTCTCATTTAAAATAACTCCTCTCATCCTAGGACTTGGGGACTCGAAGTTACCATGCTTGGGCTCCACCTCTAGAAATGTGTTAACCTATCTGAGATTCCCTTTAAATATAAAATTTGGGCAAAAGGGCTCACTCTCACACTGTTCATGCCCGAGCGTGGATGCTGTGTTAAGTCCTCCTCAATCCCATCCAAAAGGAAGAAGCACAATGTAGACCAAAGGTCTTATTGGGGAGATGGTGATGTAAAATCGATGTGGATCTCTTGGCCACCTCTCCGTCATCATTTCCGCCTTCTCCTCAGGGTGCTTTACCATCTCAGGGACAATCTTGAGATGATGACTGACTAGAAATCGGTTTCCAATGCCATAGATCTCGCAATCACAGTTGCCATACCTGCATTCTTCCCTTCCTATCAACAAACACTGGAAAAGCTCTGATTCATGGCCCCGGAGCTCTTCCACGCTGTGCGCGCCTCTTGTTTTGAGTCAGAGTGGAAGAGCTGCGAGCCTTCGGTTGGCAGGGCTTAGTAATGCGGAAGGAAACGGTTACTAGGAAATGAAGAGTTACAATCATCAAAGTGATCAGTAACCAAAGGACGGTGACTTGGTTCTTTCTTACATGGTGGAATAGAAAAGAGTAGGTGTGTGACAGACCGGGACCCAGATGACCCCCGCACTACTCAAAGGGCCAAGGCCAACTTCCTATGAAGCTGCCTAGGAAGTAGGTGGGGACGGTCCCTCTTGTGCCTCCATGTTGTTTATTTATGCTTTCCTGAAATAAGCAATCGCAACCTCTAATTTCCATGTGGAAACATGCCCCACTCTCCCCTGCCCTCAAGATGTGGGTGTGTAGATGAACAAGAACATAAAACCACTCAACAATGGAGTTTGTAGATGGTAGTCAAAGACCCGAACTGGGAAATTTTACTCACAGAAGGTCTCCTCTTATCTACCTTTCCTTTGTTTTGTCACTAAGCGGTGGTCACAGTCGAGGTCAATTGAACATTCTGGAAACATTTACAATCCAACAACAATAATATATAGCATTTTGCATGTGCATGTGTTTTAGTCACTTTCTAAGAACACATTCAATCTTACAATAGCTCTTTAAAGTAACTGTCACATTATTACTATTATTCCCATTTTATTGATTAGGAAACTGAGGCCCAAGGCCATTTGTTATTTGCCTTACTCTAGAAAGTGAGGACAGGATCTAGGCAGACTGTTTTCTAAGCCTATACAAACACACACACATGTGCGGACACGTGCACACACACACACACACACACACACACACACAATATTAAATTGAGAACTGTGTACATACACACACTGTATTTTAATCATGACCTTTACTTTTTCCTCCATATACCTCTGGACCCCCACATGCTTACATTCTCCTCCCAAATCACTGCCCTCTTAAAAACAAAAAAAGTTTGGTCAACCAAAACCAAAACAAAAACAAAAAGCAAAACAAACAGACAAAAAAAAAAAAAAAAAAAAAAAAAAAAAAAAAAAACCCTGATACTCCTTTTCCTACTCCTTTTCCTAGAAGCCATAAACTGTCAATAGCTTGTCAGGACTTGGAAATTATAAGTCCCTCCCCATCCATGTTAGAATGTTGACTGGCTTCTGTCTGCTCATCTATGTTTTTTTAAACTCTGCCTTTGCCACTCACTTCATGTATGACTTAATGTACTATTTATCGTCTTCCCAACCACTTCCAGAAAAGATGAGAGGTGGGGGCTTATAATTCACTAAACACCTACAAGCTGGCTTATAATTATTTGTTACAAACCCACACATTTCCCCCAAGTATTTTTTTTCATAGCTGCTCTTTCCTCAGAGAATCAGGCCTATGAACATCTGAAACCCAAATAAGCACCATAGTATTTTCTGGAAAGTATGAGTTGGGTAGGCACAATGCCTACAGATAGCCCTGACAGGCACCTTTGATTTTATTTTTAGAAACTTGGAGCCAAAGTAAAAAAAAAAAGTAAAAATAGTTAAGCCAAGAAACCAGAGTTTGGTTATTACATAGATAGAGAACTCATGCCTGAGGCTTACAGGAGAGAAATGAACTAGTTGGCTTAGCCACTACAGAGTGCTGTGCTTCCATTGACGGGGCTCAATGCTAGAGGCAGTGTGTGTGTGGACTATGTATGTACTTTGTGTTTTGTTCCAGAGGCTCCTGATTGGGGAGAAAAGGGTCTGAAAGCTTCTGAGCAGTAATCCATCATCCTGTTTCTGGAGCAACAGCTCAAACTGGGAACTGGAGCTAAAATTTGTAGCATGATGGAATGAAAAAAATCCCAGGAAGCTAGTTGCTAAATTTACATTTCTACCATAATCTGCATGTAAGTTTCAAGATGGCAGCCAATAGAACTATTTTTCTCAACCTGTAGGTCGAGATTGCTTTGGGGTCAAACAAATTTTTCACAGGGTCACATATCTTGCCTATCACATATTTACATTATGATTCATAATAGTAACAGAGTTGCAGTTATGAAGTAGCAATGAAAATAATGTTATGATTGGGGGTCAACACAACACAAAGAACTGTATTAGAGGGTCACACACAGTATTAAGAAGGGTGAGAACCACTGTCTAGACCATCAACATGAGGAACTGTATTAAAGAGTCACAGCATTAGGAAGGGTGAGAACCACTGTCTAGACCATCAACATGAGGAAATGTATTAAAGGTTCCAGCATTAGGAAGGCTGAAAACCACTGTCTAGACCATCAACATGAGGAACTGTATTAAAGGTCCCAGCATTAGGAAGGGTGAGAACCACTGTCTAGACCATCAACATGAGGAAATGTATTAAAGGTTCCAGCATTAGGAAGGCTGAGAACCACTGTCTAGACCATCAACATGAGGAACTATATTAAAGGTCCCAGCATTAGGAAGGGTGAGAACCACTGTCTAGACCATCAACATGAGGAACTGTATTAAAGGTCCCAGCATTAGGAAGGGTGAGAACCACTGTATAGACCATCAACATGAGGAACTGTATTAAAGGTCCCAGCATTAGGAAGGGTGAGAACCACTGTCTAGACCATCAACATGAGAAACTATATTAAAGGTCCCAGCATTAGGAAGGGTGAGAACCACTGTCTAGACCATCAACATGAGGAACTGTATTAAAGAGTCACAGCATTAGGAAGGGTGGGAACCACTGTCTAGACCATCAACATGAGGAACTGTATTAAAGAGTCACAGCATTAGGAAGGGTGAGAACCACTGTCTAGACCATCAACATGAGGAACTGTATTAAAGGTCTCAGCATTAGGAAGGTTGAGAACCACTGTCTAGACCATCAACATGAGGACTGTATTAAAGGTCCCAGCATTAGGAAGGGTGAGAACCACTGTCTAGACCATCAACATGAGGAACTGTATAAAGGTCCCAGCCCAGCATTAGGAAGGGTGAGAACCACTGTCTAGACCATCAACATGAGGAACTGTATTAAAGGTCCCAGCATTAGGAAGGGTGAGAACCACTGTCTAGACCATCAACATGAGGAACTGTATTAAAGGTCCCAGCATTAGGAAGGGTGAGAACCACCGCAATAAAAGAAAAGTTACTAACAGCGCAGCTTCAATTCTATTTCGTGTTCTTCCACAGATACTGTTCGTCATTTAGGTCATCTGGCAGTATTTTCTCTTCCTTTATGGAAACCCTTCTCTGTTTAAACTATTAAAAAATCATTTCTATGACAGTAATACATCAAAAGTTTTTTGTTTTTGTTTTTGTTTTTGTTTTGGCTTTTAGATCAGGGCTCATAGATGGCCTCTAACTCTACCTACCAGAGGATGATTTTAAACTTCTGATCCTTCTGCCCCCACATCCCAAGTGCTGAGATTACAGATGTGTCTCACCATACCTGGCTTTATTTTGGTGCTAGGGATAGAACTTGGGGCTTCATGCACGCTAGACAACTGCCCTACGAACTGAGCTGCATTGCCAACCTTCACAAAAAATAAAGCACTAAAAGACTGTAGAGGGACACATAGAAAACAACACTCTTATGTTTTGAGACAAAGGGATTTGTCTGATGTCTAGAAAATAGCTCTCAAAATCTCTGGCCTGCTTTAAACAGGGGTCACTTCATCACTTTTCAATTTTTCCTGCTTGAA